AAGGTGTCTCACTTTTCATGCTGACTTTAAAGGAGCCTAAATTACTAGCTTCTACCTGCGCTACAGAGAAGTAAATCAATTCTCAAGAAATTAATTCCCTGTAATACTATTTTAAAATACATAATTCATGTGAGAGATTCTCTGATTCTTTGTAATCCAAATGAATATTACAGATATTCCTCAATAGCAAAAGTGTGCTAGGCATATATTCTCAGCAAAATCTCAGAGTGAGCATGGCCAGGGACTCACATAATTACCTCTATTTCTTTCTTAAGTGATAACATGGTTTCCCAAGACATGCCACAGCAGTAAACTATTTGCAAACACTAGCCTAAAAAAGCAGATCACTTAAAACTTCACCAACAAGCTTAAGCTGTTGGTGAGATCTGGAGAGATGAAGAAAATCAACTATCATATGCAGATTTTAAAACAGTAGACAGAACAGTTATATAAAAGCTACTTAAAAATCTCACCGGTTCTGGTATTTGTAGCCACAACACACACACTCAAACTTCCATGAAAATGAATGCAAGAACAGTTTCTCAGCTTGCTGATCCAGTTGTAAGAGTAGAGGCAGTGCAAACACTGGACTCTCCTTCTTACCTTCAAAGATGCGACAGAAAAAACAGTCACTGACTATTTGAAATCAGCTTTCAGTACTTCAAAAAGGAAGATTATAAGCTTATTGCTATGATTTTAATACCAGTTATCCCTTCAAGGCTGTATTTCTAATCCTCACAGCAATGAGATTGATCCATGTTATTAGGTTGTTATCAATGACAATTTCTTGAGAGAGCATAATTACAAAGATGAGATTATGCTCTCTCAAAAGTCAAAAACAGCCAAGGGACAAAACAGCTGATCACACTGTAAATAAAGCACGTGTATGTCACCAGTAAGAATTAGGTATGTGAAAACTGCCTTACGTGCATATGTACATACATATTTCTATGTACTGATATACAAGGCATTACATGGAGAGTTTCCTGAAAGTAAATACAGAGATGCTGCACTAATTACTTACCAAATTCGTATTTAAGCCGAGTCTGAAGCTGTGTAAGCATTATGTTTCTGATTTCACTGAGATGAGATTCTGCTTTTGGAAGAGCATCTAAAGAAAAAAATACATATGTCTTCATGTATTTATGTGTAACACCCCCACCCTTTCACACACAAATGTATCCCTAACATGCACTCATTCTCTGCTAACTAATGCCTTTCATATTGACCCATACTTGCGTAAAACTGTTGCTAAAACAGCCGATGTTTGGTATGAACCGATTCGAAAATTATAGAAGAATTTACACAAGTTATTCACATTTTACTGCAGTCTACTAACCAGAAATTACTTGACCTGACTTAAATTATGGCTGAGTGGGTACCAACAGTTAGATAGTAACAACATTTAAGGATACAGTGGAAGGTGTCCCTTCCCATGGCAGGGGGTTGGAACTATATGATCTTAAGGTCCTTTCCAACCCTAACCATTCTATGATTCGATGATAGTGTAACCAGACATTACAAACCCTGGAGATTCAGAGATTAAGAGTAGATTTTAAAATCTAAACATTAAGATCAAAAGTGCAAAAATTTGCTTACATGCTTTTGAATGCTATACACTTCATAATAAAACACGCTGTTTGTACACGAACGCATTAAGTACAAGCAAGAAGTTCTACTACACAATCATGATCATAACTTGCAGAAATTGAAGGATTTAGAATAGCTGCTAAAACTATTTATTCCTTATAAAATCTATGTATATAAAAAAGGTAAAAAAAAAAAAGTTTCTTGCTGCTCTACTGATTTTAATTCTTTTTAAAAACAGCTTATGTAAAAGATACTTAAAAATTGCACAGAGGAGCAGAATAAATACTGTACCTATTCTCCACAACAATCTCCACCCAATCCCCTATCCACTGCTGCCCAAATAAACTACTTTGTTTTCCATCAGTTCCTGGAAATGAAGAGATTTCTGGAAAGCAGAGTATATGAACTACTTCAGAATATTTCTGGACCACCAAACCCCTGCCCTGTAAAAGAGTATGTCTTCTCTATCACAAGGTGGATGAAACGATTTTTGATAAAGCTATTATTTTTCCCAGGAAAGATAGGACCTTCTTAAAGTTACCTAATGGTGTTCTGGGACTATAGTCCATATATTTAAACAGACTTTTCCTGAAATGTCTATTGAAAGGAAAAAAAAAAAAAAAAATCATGAATCATAGAATCAACTTGGTTGGAAAAGACCTTTAAGATCATCAAGTCCAACCGTTACCCCAGGACTGCCAAGTCCACCACTAAACCATGTCACTAAGGGCCACATCTACATGTCTTTTTAATACCTCCAGGGACAGTGATTCCACCATTTCCCTGGGCAGCCTGTTCCAATGCCTGACCACCCTCTCGGTGAAGAAATTTATCCTAATATCCAGTCTAAACCTCCCTTGGCACAGCTTGAGGCCATTTCCTCTTGTGCTAGCACTATGTTACTTGGGCGAAGTAACACCATGTACCCATTATGAAGAGCTATCAATGCATTAGTTGCTCCTCACTCAGAAAGACCACCTTATTATTAAAACAGCTAAAGCCAGAAAGGGAGGTGCCATTCTCTACAGTCCACCAGGAGGAAACAGTGGCTAACCACCACCTCTCACATCAAATGAGGGCCACAGGCAGAAAAGATGCACACAGGAAATAAATAATGGTTATGACATGGGGAGAAAAGACGAAGAAAGATTAGAAAGTGGTGAAAGGCAGCAGGCAGTGGTGATGAGGCTGAGAGACACAACAGCTCAGAGAAAAAACTCTTCACCTTGGCAGGAGAAGGTAAATGGAGTCCCCAGGAGTGGCCAAGAGGAAGGAGGAATGTGGCTGTATCACTACTCCAGGCCGGATGTGACCCTTAAAATTTCACACTCTATTGGGACAGGCAGTTTCCCCTCTAAAGGCTTAGAAACCAGAATTGAAAGTAAAACACTACACACATTTACGATATTAGAACATCCAGGAGAGCTGTGGATCTGACTCATATTGTGAACATGTAATGATGGCAATATTGTGACACTAACAGCTCCAATTTACTGTAACGGAATCCTCATGCAACACGTGGTGGAAGAACACAGCTGCACACACTTTCATGGGGAGTGTTATATGTTTCTTTATGATTTAGGCTGGCTTAATGGCTCAGTCCTCTTTCAGATTAAGATAATGGGTAGAAAAATTCCATTTACTTGATGGTTGTATACCCAGACATTATTACTGGAATTCTCAAAAGCAGGTATTATTAGTCATTTTTATCACTGGTTAACATTTTCAAACCAGAGCCTGAAATAAGATCCAAATCCATATTAAGCACATTTGGCCCGATTTGATAAAAGTACCATTTTTATATAAGCAGCCATTAAACATTCAAATGGCTTCTCCAAGATTGATCAAAATTGCAGAAGAGATTCAGTGCTGGGTTGGAATTGTCTGTGCAATCAGATATCAGAAATTAAGCAGGACAATCTTCAGCTGCAAAGTTTGGTTCCAATACTTCCCCAAAAACCACAGAATTTAGGATCATTTGGAGACTCAGGGGAAAGACCTTATGGCGTGAAGCTGTGGATCGAATTTAAATTGAAATGATTTATATCCGGTTTTATTTCATGCCTTTAGTGCTACTCCATAAAGCAAATGCTAACATAAATGTAAATGTGTCAGCATTGCACAAGCAGTGTCAATGCATGTGTCCTTATAAAGATGCAGTTGCTGAAGGATCCCTACCAATGTCACTCTTCCCGTGCTAATCTGTGAACCTTGGACCCAACATAACATGTCGTTTGTATCCAGAACTTCTCTATGAGCAATAGACAAAACACAATACCTCTAAAATAATACGCAGCTGTCATGGAGCACAAAGGATGGTCAAGAGAAGGTAAAAAACCAGCTGAGAACAGCCCCTAAATATAACGGCCGTAGGAAGTCAAGTCCATCCTGCCTGTTGGTTTGACAGCTGTAATCCTCACCGAATCCTTTTGCTAGCTTGGACACATGGATGACATCAAAACCACCTTTTGAGTAATTCCTTCTGTTAGCTCTGCTTTACAGCTCCTATTTATTAAATTATTGCCTATCCTTTTTTATACCTGTTTTCAAACAGAAACACAGGGATAGGATTTATCAAAGCAAAAAACAGGTCATGGGTCATCTGCTCCAGGCTACACTGCAAACGGAACTGAATGAAAGGCTGTGGTTCCATCTCTGGCTAACCAGAGATCAGTATTCATTCTCTAACAGATGACGTCTTAGAATTTCAGACTTAAGACACCAGTGGGTCAGTTCAAGAGGACTAAGACAAACAGATCTTAGTTTAAGAGTCTTAAACTGAATACACAGTACAGGAGCTGATCAAAGGCTGTTGACTAGTGACACATCCACCTCTGACCCAGCTGTGCTGCCCAGAAGGTTGCCCCCAGCTGCTCATCACCGCATCTGAGCTTGGAGGTCACAGTCCTCAAACCCGTTAAGCTGCACATGTGAGTACTCACTAACCCTTTCAAGAAGATATGAACCAGGTTAATGTGTTTGACTAATTTTGACTGAAACAGGTTAGGAAGTGCACAGCACAGCACAGCTTGCAGACCTTAGGGCAAGCATTCCTTCGATGAGTGCAGCTGGAGCCAGAAGACAAAATATTTTCCCAGCTTTACTATTTTTGGTTTGCCTTTTGATAAGGCCCATTTATACAAGGATATAAGCCACAACAGAAATAATTTTGTAGATTAAGATTAGAACATCCTAATATGTTAACCATGAGATAGGAAGGAAACAAAGCTAAGATCAATTACACAAAAAAATCACAAATTCTGTATGGGGGATATGACAATAAAAAATTCAAGATATACTTAGTGTTTAATGCCTTCAAAGTGTGCAGGTTTGACCAAGCAAAAAAAGTTACTGGGATTCTGCTAGATAAAGCATACTACTCTGCAAATTCGTGATGAGTTGCAACTCATTCTTTTGTTATCTTGAAGTAGAATGAAGGCATATTTAAAGGAACTGTACTAAATCCCAGGTATTTGTAGCAGATGAGTCTGAATATGAAGAAAGAACAGCTGAGTTTACTCACCTTTTACTTTACTCCTTTTACAGGTATTTAGAAGCACAGTTGCTTGATTATATTTTGTTAAGAGTTCCTGGAGTAAACATTTTTCATCATTATATTCTTCTGCTAGAGCAAATTTTAATGTTTCTAAGTGTACCAGTGCTGACAAAATACAATCTAACCAACAAAGGTTATGCACGTTTCTCCACTGAAGACATAAATCTGTGCTATGAGTGGAACCTTTATCACCTTTGAGCAAAATTTCAGATGTTTTTGAGGAAAGTTCAGAATTTGACAAGAGTTGAGTTCTGAGACTAGAAGTCCTAGGTGGGCTTTCTTTAGAGTTCTTGGTGTTTGTGGTTGTTTCAAAATCCATCTTCTGCATGCAGGCCTCCACACTGACACTAGGTTTTTGCTGGTCATTTTGTAACATGTCACGTAGAGTTGACTTGGGAAGACATAAGCCATTCTGATAGCTTTTGACAACAGGGTCTGCATTGATACTGTGCACACCATTTGCCACATTATTAGTTCTTGCTTTTTTTGGATGTGATTCAACAGAAGAAAAGTCACTGACATCACAAAATTTCCTTTTCTTGTCAGTAGATGGAACTTGATGATTTTCTGAATCAGCAGAAGTAATTATGCTGTTTAATGGTTTATAACCAAGAGGGTAGATACACTAAAGGAAAGAAAAGAAAGTTACAGTGAAATCTACAAAGCAATTTCAGGTGAACGAGCTAAAAAAAGCACAAAAGGTACTCTCAACATGTAATGTAGGACTTCTGTAAAGTGGTATTTTAGTGAAATCGATAGATACATTCAGCCAGGTTGGCTGTCACCAACCACCTCGCTGTTTTTCATGTGCCTCAGCATGCTTTCCAGCAGAATCTGCTCCAAGATTTTGCCAGGCACAGAGGTGAGACTGACTGGTCTGTAGTTCCCTGGGTCTTCCACCTTCCCCTTCTTGAAAATGGGAGTTATATTACCTCTTTTCCAGCCGTTGGGAACTTCACCTGATTGCCATGATTTTTCAAATATTATGGACAGTGGTTTAGCAACTTCATTCACCAGCTCCTTCAGGACCCACAGATGGATTTCATTGGGCCCATGGACTTGTGCACATTCAGGTTCCTAAGATGATCTCGAACCTGATCTTTTCCTACAGTAGGCCTAAGGTCTTCATTCTCACAGTCCCTGCATTTGCCTTCCAAGACTTGGGTGGTGTGGTCAGAGCACTTACTGGTGAAGACTGAGGCAAAGAAATCATTGAGAACTTCAGCGTTCTCCAAATCCAGGGCAGCCAGATCTCCCGCTTCCTTCTGGAGAGGGCCCACTTTATCCCCAGTCTGTCTTTTGTTTGCGATACACCTATAGAAGCCTTTCCTTTAATCTGTGACACCCCTGGCCAGACTCAATTCTAACTGGGCCTTAGCTATCCTGACCTGATCCCTAGCTTCCCAGACAATGACCCTGTGTTCCTCAGTATCATTATTTAGAAGCAGGGAGGGATGGGAAAAGCAACTCAGAGACCCATGTCTAGTCTAGTCTCTACTAGTTTAAAGGCATCAGTCCATATGGGATTGCTATACCCTCTCCACATGCAGTGGGAAAAAGCAGTCGAAAAGTGAGGCAACAAAGGCTTCTTTCTACACACTTCTTATCACCACCAAAATGCTGAACTTAAAGAGGTGTAAATGCTGAAGGTAAAGGCCTCTGCACAATCAAAGCCCCCTGTTACTTAAGTGTAATACCTGAGGATTTCCACAAAGAAAAATGGACTCTTGAAAATTAATGCGGTAAGTCCGTAAAACTTGGATCTGGCCCTTCTCTTTGCAGACTGGACAATGCTCATGCGCAGCTGTTTCCACAGGATTACAATTCTAAAAAAAAAAGAAAAGAAAAGAAAAAGCATAAATGTATTTCATATGTTATCCCACGGTAAGACATACATACATACCAAGATAGAAAACCAACGTGCAACTTCTAAATAAAATACCTAACACAGTCTTAAAAAGTAAACTAGATTTTAAAAATATATTTATAAGAGATATTCTTATAGTAGTGTTTTAAATAAATTTATCTTTTGATTTAAATATTCAAATATTTAATAAGGCATCTTTAACAACACAATTATGCAACATTTCATTCTACTTGAGCTAAACCACAGGACTCTTATTGCCAGGGAATATAAGCTCAGATCTTTGAAAGACAAATGAATTTAAATAGGAATGCAAACAACAATAAAAATAGTGCCAGTAAAAAAATCATAGGCACAGATTAACTTAAAATAATCTTTCGCCATTGTCATAGATTTCCGTGGAAAATAATTTTGAGATTTTTGGTTTTTTGCAAAATTAAGACCAATTAAAAATCTCTCCAAGCAGAGAAAAATATGAACTTTGCACACATGTAAAACAAGTTTCAACTGACTTTTCCCAAATACCCCACCATGTGGAGTGTCGATTTCCCTATACCAGTCCCTTCTCCAATCACTTGCAAACCATTTGTAGTCTTCTGGGTATCCATCATTCTGAGCCACTGGCTAATTTATGTCACTTGTAACAATGTCATGACCACTAAGGCTTTTTCAAAGACTCCTGAAAAATAAGAATTAAAAACAATTAAAGAAAAATTAGATTAAATTTGGAGAAAAAAAAAGAGAAGATTCCAACAACAACGCAGCCCGTATATCCTGAGGAAATGAATTCAGAAGAGCATTTTCTTAACTGAAACTACTTATCTAGTGCAGATTATGAACTCAAAATTTTCCATTAAGTCACGTATCACGTAATAGATTTAACAGCTTTAGGCCCTGAATTTGCAATCTTACCTATTCTTTGCACTCTACAAGGTCTCACATTTTCCAAGTAAACTATACTTTACAGAAATGTAGATGTTGTGCCTGGGCATCTCTGGTTACTGCATCTAGCCCTCAGAGAGAACAAAAAACACGGGTACAAGAAGATCCCGTACAGTTAGAGATAGCTGCTGAGGAACATTTCAAAAAACCCCACTGTTGCATCTTTCAAAACAGTGAATTTATTGCATAATAAACTACTAAAAGTTTATCCTGCAAACGTAACAATTCTTAACTACAGAAGGGCATCCTGCTGTTACTGCCACTTTTTGGAAACCTCTCCTTATGTTATTTTAACACTGTTACAGACTTCCTAGCAAACTAGAGCTCTTCCACAATTATCACTGCTATATAACTCTACTGCAAATTTTACAATTGAATATTCTTCTTCAAATGATTTCTTATATTCAGGGACTAATTTTGCTCTTCTCACATATCACACATACACAGAAGTGTATTTGTGGAGAACAACTTCAGTATAAACCAGGTGCACATCAGAAGGCAGCTCCTTAAGTCTATTCACTGGCACTGAGGCTAACTACACCTTTGTCAACTACATCACGACAACCTTGAATCAGACAGAAAAACACTGAAGTTTAGAACTACAGTCCTGCTGATTTCATATGGAACACACTAGAATAAATGCACATCTCCTTAAGATGTTAAGGAAGAAGTTAAAGTAAGTTAAATTGCAAAGTCATCAATGTAATACCTTTCCTCCAGCCACGACTGTTCCCTTTTCATTATTTCCACTGAATGACATCCTCTCCCACACCATGATATCCCTTCAACCTTTTCTTACACTACAGCACTAACCCAGATTATAGTTCATTTCAAAAAACGAAATTCCCATGGTATTCTTGGAGACCTATGTAAATACCAGTCCAACCCAAAACCATTTATAATCCTGGGCAAGGACAGACCCTACAGAACTGGGCAGAATACTAAAACCAACAGAGCATGAACAAAATGGATGTAGGAAAACGTAACAAGTCATTTCAAGTAAGTCCCCAACAGCAACTTGAGAGGGTCAATATCAGACGATGGTGTGTCCTACGGACACTTTCAGTGTCTTCAGCAGCACTTTTCAGAACTACCAGGCTGCAGCATGTGAAGACGGTATACCCTGACTTATAAAACTAATGGTGGGAACAGACAGTGAGAACATAAAAATATGAACCCACGTGCTTTAGAGAGCATGTTTAGATTTCAAAGTCGAGTTGGAAGGTGTACAAGAAACAGCACTGTCCAAGGCTCAATCATGCTAAAAGTCATGAATTAGCTGAAAGTATGCAAGTTTGTGGACTATAAAGGAAAGGCAAGCTCTCCCATTTTTCACACAGTGGCAATATCACTATCACACTGTGACTCAACTCTATTATCATATATTTAGTCTAGCCAGGAACTTGAATTCTATAATGCAAGTTATGCAGAGATCAGCCATGCTAAAACACGTAACTTTACTCTCCATGCTATAGCTGGCAAGAAAATGTCTCTAACTACTGTTCAGGGGGCTTTTAGTCAATTCCTTAGCCTGCAGCACTCTCAGCTCTCCAGAGTAAATTAAATACACAGATCACATGACTGGAACTCCAGGCAATTTCTCACCACATAAATACAACTCACACTCGGGAAGATTAGTGACACGAAGAACCTGCAGGTTATTCCTTTTTAAGCTTGCCTTGGGTTTATAAAACATTTATTTCTTTGCAAGTACCCATTTTCCCTGTCATCACTCTAAAAAGAAAAGCAAGGGCTTTTGTTATGTTCTCTGTTACTTCTGCTCTTATTTTTAAGGCTTAAATACTGTCCCGAGATGTACAACACCTCCCTCAACTGTAATCACCCAGCACTACAGTATGGACTTCTACTGCACTTATGAACATAATAAACTTAAAAATAAAGTATTAATTGTCCTTTTATTTCAAAGACATAAACTCAACAAGCAAATAAAACAGGTCTGCTGGAACTAGATACGTAGAGTGGTACCAAGTGACTTGCCTGCACTTTTCAGTATTTGTAACGTTACAGCAAGTTACTAGTGATCTTTGCAAAACGTACAAAAATTAGGCATCAGGCCAACAACTGCCAAAAAAACCAAGCCAATTAAAAGACTAATGTATTAAGGGCTGAAACAAGCCATCGTAGCAATGTGTAAATTCCACATTACAGATAGGAAAGTACACACGAATGCACTTTCAAGCTTACTGGACCATGTTTTAAACCACTTATGCTACTTTCCTTTTTTTACCCTGGATACTTGAAAAATGTAAATCAAACTGCTTTGGGCCTGTTATAATTATTAAGGTTATGCTCATGCTTCATTGAGTAGATGTAATGGGTCACTGCTGCAGAACAGGGAGGTCTTCTCTATCCTCGTTTTCCTCTTCCCACCTTCTCTAACAGCTGACGTCTTTGTCAGACTTTCCACAAGCTAGCTGAACTCACAAACCAGCAAAAGTGTCAGTAAAGAACAAGTTTTTCTGCTCTTCTATTAAGTTAAATTAGCCTGTGAAAAGGTCTGATGAGCTACAGAGCTGACAGGGCAGAAAACTGAAACCAAGGAAAAGGTGGAAGACTGGAGATAAAGGTTTGATGGACAGACTGTTAGACAGCTAAGGAACTGGACGGATGGCTGCACTCAACGAATTACAGTCAATGGCTCAGTGTTATTGACTGTAATGACCAGTGCCCCTCAGGGGTCTGTACTGTGACCAATACTATTTAATACCTTTGTCAATGGCATAGACAGTGGGATTGAGTACACCCTCAACAAGTTTGCAGATGACACCAAGCTGAGTGGTGCAGTTGATATGCTGGAGGGATGGGATGCCACCCAGAGACCTTGCCAGGCTTGAGAGGTGGGCCAGTGCAAACCTCATGAGGTTCAACGAGGCCACAGGACAAGGGATAGGGACTACACGTTTTGTTGGCAAGTTATTCAGTCCTTCCAGAAAAATATCAGTTGGTGCAAAGAAAATACAACCTAAATTAGTGCAGTTTATTACAGATGTGACTGAGAGATGCAAGATCTCAGGAAGGGATGCGGCACAGGATGAGGGCAGGAGTGTGGGGTGCCCGCTGCCAGGGCTGTGCTGGCCCCTGTGCTGCCCTTTCTGCAACACCTAAAGGTGCTCAGGCAGAGCTGTGGTTAAACAGTCTCCTCAGTTCTTAATCCACATCCAGAGTGATCCATATGTTATGGAAAGACTGTAGAAGAAAAAAGCGTTTGTGGAGTCAATCGCCAGAAGGTAAGAACACTGACCACCGGCACATACACATACACACGTGCGCCAGTACCTCACCAACTGCACCCCTTTAGCAGTGAGCGCTTTCAGCCGCACCGCACGCCCTCACCGCACAGCTACTGACATGAAATACTCAGTCGGCATTCAGGAACCCGTAGGA